CAGACCGACACGGGTCTTCATTACAGCCCGCAAACACAGACAGGGACAAACACAAACCCACACACACTCATAGAGTCAGACACTCACACACACACACACTCCCACATGCAGAACTGCAGGGACAGCGTCAACAAAATAAACAAAAATGTAAAGCAATTAAAAGCAGCCCAGCAGAACACAACGGAATATCGCACATAAAACATGAGCAAAGGCATGATTTTGACTTTTTTGCCCGCTTACTTTCTATTGCTCCGTCCCTGACTCGCGCAATATCGCAATCTTTGGTCTATCGAAAGAAATGTACCCATTTTCAAACCCTTTTTTATCAAAAAAGATATTATAAATCTCAAAACCGGAAAGTTTTTACCATCCGAAACTCAGTTAAAAGAGTACATTAAACTTTAACAAAAATCTGGCAAAGTCATTTTCAATCCATTTTTGCTTAAATTTGTTGATTATTTTTTTGTTAATGGCCTAAAATTTTAACCATTATGAATAAAATATAAAAGTTGATGGATAAAAATTAATATAAAATAAAACAATAAGGGTATATTAGAAAATTAAGGCATAAACTTTATATTAGTGTTAGGTATACTCACTTTTCTTCAAAGTTAAAGATAATTAGGCCATAAACTTTAAAATAGTGTTTAATAGATTCACTTTTTTACAAAGTAAAAAACTTAAGTTACATTCTGACAGGCGTTTTGAATTTAATTAATATATTTGTTATAAAATGTTATCTAAACAATATACCCCTGCTATTCCCCGGGGCCCTGGGCATCGAAATGGCTGTTGGACCGCCTGCTGAAGGCTACAAGTGGTCATTGGCTGGCTCCTGGTGCTCTTGCAAACCGGATTTTAGCTGGAACCAAAATGAATTTTTTGCTTTTGAGGTTAAAGGGCAAAAAGTGTGCAGCTAGGCGCCAGCGAGCACACGCGGATGGCAGCTATATATTTACAAGCTCAATGAAAACATCCGCAAACAAAAAGTGCAGACACACACATACACACACACACACACACACACACACACACAGACAAAGAGACAGTGAGACAGTGAGAGCGAGAAGTTTTATGGAAATGACCATCGCACATACCCCACATGTGGTGGAGTAATTGTTATGCCAAAGTCGGGCTCACAATTTATTTTTGTTAATCAGCAAACGCCCATTCCGCCGGCCACGCCCACCGCCCGGGAAACACGCGTGGCAAGTGGCAACAATTCGACAATTATGTGGCATTTCCATTGCGGCCCCTTGCTGTTCGTTTTTATTTTAATTAAAAAGTCCCCAGCCAGGATGCAAAAAGCGAACAGGTTCGCGGGATCTCACACCTGCGGGTATGAACCCCCCCAACTGAAAAACCTGCGTCCATGTGTTAGAATTTTTGATATTTATGGACGGTGGCCACTGGTCGGTGGAAAGTTACAGCCCGATAAGCATCTGCACCACCCAAAAAACACAACCATTGCAGCTGTTGTGGCTCCGATTTTCGGTGCGTTGTGACCGTTTGGCTCGCAATTATGCAAATCGAAAGATCGCCACACAGCGATATCCTAAAATTCCATGCATTTACAATTTTCTAATCAATGGAATTTTAATTTTAATATCCAAGGCTGCCCCTTTAGGCGGTGTGTTGCGATGTATCTTTGCGGTCTGGATTATTATTTGCTAGCTGCTGCGAAAATTGTTCAATTTCTCGCTCAATGGCAAACAGACACACGCACACACACACAAATTCAAGGGTACTCGCGGTGGAGTCGAATTTTAAATTAAAGACCCGGATGTTTCAATTAATTCAATCCCAGTGTGAAATGTGTCACTCACATGTCGCCAGCCGAATCGCTTTGTTGCCTATTTACAGGCGCCGTGAATGCGACTGCGAATGCGAGTGCGAATGCAAGCGCGATTGCAATTCATATTCATTTTAATTTAATCAGGCTCTTGCGACGTCGCTCAACCGTAATTAAGTTTCTTTGCCGGTGCCAGAAGCTCGGCGAGCGTGCGGGAATAAAAACAAAAATGGACCAGTATAATGGAAAAAAAATTTAATAAATCAGATAGATATGCGCACCACATTTTACAGAGCCCCCAGCGGGGCGAGCTCGTGCGACTAATGCAATAACAGATGGCCACAGCACGTTTTTTAATATTTAATTAAATAAATAATTTCCATTGGCCGTTTGCAGTTTGCACTTGGCATTTGGCAGTTTGCACTTTGCAGTTTCAAATATTCGAACGCACGAATTTAAATATGGAAACACTTTGCACGCAGTGGCTGCATATCGTAAAAGGCATTTTTGGGCAAGCATTTCCGGCGACTCGTCAAAGTTTCCCGGCGGAGATGCACACACATGAATCATGGGTTTTCCCTCGCCCGAAAAGTTTTCCCTCAGAGTAATTAGAAGACTTAGTCCCCAGCCTTGGGGGTCTTTGGCTGACTGCTTAAAATGCTCTTTTGGCGTTAAATTTATGACAACCGCACATGTTGTTTGCCAGCTCGAAAACAATAACAATAACAATAACAGCCCGCCAGGCGGCAGCCCAAGGTTGGCAGCAACAACAAAAGCCAACGAGGGGAGCAGATCGCAGAGGGGGGCGTGGCGATGCAAAATGCTCGTTAGAAAGTTTCTAAGGTTGCGGCCGCACACGGAACAGCTGCGCCGCCAAAAGGGAAGGATTCTCCAAATTGTTGCACGCCTTCCTTCGCTTTGGGCGGTCACATTGTTGCTAAGCTTCACACAAACACTACACAGACTGTTTCTGTTGCCGTCTGATAAGCTACACAGGGAGAAAAGTGACAAGAACTCTTCCACTTCTTCAATCTGTTTGCTATTAATCTTCTTAGATTCTGCTTGCGGTTACTTCAAAACAATCAAATTCATCACCATACTATATTTCTTAATGCTGTTGTATCTTGTACAAAATTTTTACTTGAAAAAAGGAATGCAACTGAAATCTAAAAATACTTAAATAGTTAATCAATGAAGCCATTGATATTCAAAATATTATTTTTAGTCATTTTTAAAATTTTTATATTTGAAGATTGCAATTAAGAAGTTAGTTTAACAATTGCAAAGACTTTTTAATCTTAAACATTCATAATTAATTATTTAAAAAACCGAATCGTGTAGTGTAAAATAGGTTTAAAGATAATAAACTGTATATCTCTGCAAATTAAAGACTTAAATGTGCTTTTCTACTGCGGCTTAAGCACTCCAATTAATTTTATTTTCCCCGGTGTTTTTTGTTGAGTGCACTTGGACTCGAACGCATACCCATACTCATACGCCGTGTGGTGCACTGACGTGACCTCCACTTGTGCGGCAAGTGCTCGAGTGGGCGTGGCAGCGAAAATTCGCTCCAAAGTGAATTTATTGTTTTGCCCATTACCACTCAGCCCGATGGCCCGAAACTTGGCTCAAAGAGCCGTTTATTTTGATGCAAGACGAGAACTTAAACAACCCGCCCAAGGATGCAAATTGAAAGCTGGGGATACTTTAAGCCCTGAATCCTTGAATTTACCCAAGCCAAATTGCACTCGATAAAGAGTGCTTCACATTAATTAAAAAACCAATAGATCGATTTGGGTTTCCCATTGCAAATTATGCGGGCGCCGGAGGGCAAAGGAAGCACACTTGTCGCGGTCGGCGCTGCTGCGTTTTCTTTTACCCGCGACAGCAAAATTAATTGCATTGCACGTGGAGGAGCACTCGATACGGTTGCCATTAGCGATGGTGCCATCATCATCGACCCTCGAAATCGCTGTAATTTCCCAATAGATAATGCAATGCAATTAGAAAGTGTGTGGCTGGGCCTCTGTGCCACAAAAGACTTGTGCAAAATGCAACAATAACAGCAATTTAAACAGGCTTCCCCAGCTGACGCCTCGTAGTGCATAATGGCGCATAGAAGTTCGTAATTAAAGTTTGCCGACTCTGCCAGGTGACGACGCCACGGGACACCAACTATTTCCACCAATCCCGGCTCACAATGCACCAACACCAGGAAAAGCAGCAGCACCAGCAAATCAATTTCCGCATCGGACTCACAACCGGACGCGGATCCGTACTCCGGACTCCGGACTCCGGCTCGGACTTGGTCTCTGCCCACGCCTTCGCCCGGCTTTGTCCGCGCCATCAACAAAGCAGAAAATAAAATTCAATTAACGCGCTTAAATTAAACTGCCACTTCCTGTTTTGATGACATTTTCATAGCAACTTCCTCCTGGAGCAGCAGCAGCAGCGGGAGGCTATTCTGCCGGGATAAGAATGCGGTTTCCAAGGCCCGCTGGAGCAACCAAAGCAACCGGAGCCTGGGGTTGGCGTGACGTGGTGCCTCCTTTGGCGCCTTGCATCAATATTAAATGGTAAACGAGCGGCATAATGGCTGTCCAACTGCGGCTGTCATTATGGTTGCTGCTCGGACAGGTTCCACGCCTGCTCCCGATGACAAATAAAGCTCATTACGCGCTTGTCCGGCATCCTTCACTCCAGCCTGATTGACCTGCATCTGCGGCTGGCGGCTCAGACTGCAACCATAACTTGCCCTGCACTGGCAAAAATTCTACGGACTAAAGCAAAATCTTAAATTTGTGCTTGATTTTTTTGCCGAAATTCAAAACATTTTAAATTATATTTCAAAGAATCTTAATTAGGCCTCAGTAATACGAATGTCTTGTTTTAAGATACTACGGAAAATTGATTTTAATTTAATTATTCTATCTTCATAGATAATATAGTTTTCCACATGACATACATTTTTAAATTCTTAAAAGAATCACAATTAGGCTTGAATTCATTTTTAAAATAATAAATAGTTGAGATATTATATTTTCTTGTTAACAGTAACTGGAAAAACTTTTAAATTATTAAATGAATTCAAGCCTTATTGTGACTCTTAAGTTCAAAGAAGTATTTGCTTAGTCTACCTAAGTGAAGCTAATTTACTACATTACTCGTTCCTGCATAGCATTACATGTGAAAAGAAGAAATCAAAAGATCGATTCAACAAATCTGTATATTTTCTGAGTGAATCCAAGTCACTTATATGTCAAACAAACCTTTTCATTCCGGACTGCCCGAAGTTCATTATCGAGCAGCACAGCTCCGAAGCAAAATGACAGAAAGTCATTGGAGCGTTCAGGAGTGATTAAATTAGAACTCAACTTGGCCAAGTTGAACCTTTCGCTGCAGTATCTCTAGACCAACTTCTTTGCATTTCCATCTTAAGCCTTTGTCCAGCTCCGACACCCATTCAATTCCTTTGGCGGGTTCATTTCCCGACGCGATAAGCAACTTTGGCCGAGCAACTGGCGTTTAATTTAATTAGTGAGGAGAGTGGAGGGCGGAGGGGCTGACCTAAGAGGATTCCGTTGATTGAGATGCCCGGGCTCAAAGCAAACGGATGGCGGACTTGTAGCAGCAGTCCTGATGCAGGTCCCTTGAATGCGAAGGATCCTCCGGATCCTGCCGCTCGCAGGGACAGCGGTACATCAGCGAGGCCGGCTTAGTTTGAACAACCTGCTGCGGCAAATCTTGGCTCGGAGTGACAAGAGGTATGCGCCAGGGTTGCATCCCGAAAGATTCATTGATGGGTGGTTGCAAAGATGCGGCGGAGCTGAGGCTGCTGTCCGTTCCGGATTCCTCGTTCTCGTCCTCGTTCTTGTCCTCCTCCTCGTCCTCGTCATCGCCCTCGGCATTCGGCTTAACTCCTTCCCGCTGTAAATCATTCGGCGAGAGTGAAGGATGCCCCGCCATCCCGTCATTCCTGGCATGCGTTGCTGTCCTCTCGGGGGGCGTGGCTGTCAGCGGCGATGTTCGCAGCAGGGTGGCCGCATTCGCGGGGGAGAGGTTGTCCATCGAGTAGGCGCAGCCCTCCAGCAACTTGGTTAGGAACCTGTTTGTGGGCAGCACTGGTCTGCGCTTTTGCCAGGTGTCCTGTCCGGCAATCCTGCTGGTCCGGTCCTGTCTTCCGGCGACTGGCCGAGTTATCCCGGCAAAGAGCTTCTGCCGCAGCTTATCCTCCGAGCGGCACATCTCGAAGGCGTTGGCGATGGTCAGGAAAATCTGCTCCGCCAGAAGAGCTCGTCGGGGCGTGTAGAAATCCCGGCAGACAGGACAACGCTCCGAGCGGATGCGGCAGTCCACGCAGAGCAGGTGTCCATTTTGGCACTGCATCGCCGGCGGAGAGATGGTCACCCCGCAAACAGGACACTCGACCAGGCGCAGGATGCTCTCCAGGACTAGGGACAGGCGACGCAGGCTGGTGGGCATGGGGGCACAGCAGATGCTCTGTGGATTGACAGATTCTGGTTTTATAAACTTAACCTTAACTATGATTTTACAGACTTCCCATATTTATAATAAACACTTACGTTAATATCACAGTCCTTTTCACATTCACTGTTCCAGCAGAGAATTGTGACGCCATCCTTTTGGCTTTTGACCATTTTGGCAATTTCGGCAACTCGCAAGCCTAAAACATCTAGGCCATTTACCTGGAAGTAGAAAAATATGTATTTTTTAAGCGTAGGTTATCGAACTAGATACGATTGACGTCTAATTAAAAACTCTTTACAGTTTGTTTTGTTATTCCTAAGAAGAACTGCAATACCAAAACCATATCAGGTATCAAAACATTTTCTATACCGAAAACAAATAAATAAAGTGAAATATGGCCAACACATTTTGGAATTCTAAGCACTGCTCGCTGCTTGGCTGAACTGCTTTGCACACTGCTTACGGATGTTAATCCATGCTGTCACTGTTAACCCAAGAAGCTGTTAACTGATAAGCGACTGCAAGTCGTTCGCTTTTTGTTTGATTTAAATATTTACTTAGCGCTAATTAATCTTTCCCGGCAGTTGCCGCCCTAACAATTAACGTACAAGTTGTTTTCTTCTAGGGCTGGTTTTGCATGAGCCAGCTGTTTCCAGTCCCCACTCTCCTCCGTTAAAGCTGCTGAATAAATGCCAAGCAATTAAGTTTTACTGCATTGCTATTTTAAGCAAACAGAATCCACGCAGAACAACAAAGGTAGCTACAAAAATACTGCAAAGTCCAGATATACAGTCGCACTTCCATAAAATGTATTTGAAGTCTTCAAGTATAAGTAATATTCGTAAAATGGCTTAATGCTTTTTTTTATAATTACAAAATTATATACATACGCTGCAAACTAACCAGTACTTTTTTTCATTACAAAAATTAATTTAACTTTTTCAACAAAATTAAAACTGTAAGCGCAAACAGTTTTTAGTTACAATTAATTTGTTTTAAAACTATGTAACGTTTAGGTTGTAGAGTTATAAAATCATAATAAGTTTGATTGAAGGGTATTTTTAATACTTCCTTTTCTTTACTATAAGTGGTAAAGTTCAGTTGAAAAAAAGAAAATGTCTAAATCATACCCAAAATATGTTTAAATTGTAAAGAACTTATCCAACGATTACTCAGCGTAAAAACTACTTAATCTTAAAAAGTTTGCTGAAAATATGTTTTGAATACTAGTTTTTCTTTACTACAATTAGTAAGGGACAGTTAAAAAATGTGTAACTTTTTGATACAACTTAGCATAACCAAAATATTTTTAAATGGTAAAGAACAACAGAAATTCCCATGGTATATTGCCTTGTTATTTGTGTAAGCCAAAGTCTGGGGCATTTGGTTTTACGGCAGCTGCTTCTGCATTTGCCAGAACTGTGAAAGGTGGACAGTGGTCTGTGGCAACTACGCGTGGCAGTACTCACCTCCAGAACGCAGTCGCCGGGTTTGAGGCCGCAGAGTGCGGCAGGTGTGCCGGCGGCCACATCGCATACCTGTCAGTGTGGGATATGGCATTAGCGGGGGTCGGGAACTACGACGACTGGCTACTTTGTTACCCAGGGATAGGGGTCCCACTTGCTGCGGGTCAGCTGGAATCCGTAGTTCTCCATCGCGGGGGCGGCACGGGGGATCTTCAGCAGGCGGACGGAGGAGCTGACGCCATCCACCCCGTTTTCGGTGGGCGGGGCCTGGAGTCCACCCCCTGATTTCCTCATCTTCGAGTGGAAAACTAGACCAGGTACTTCAACCGATTGGAGACAGAATAAAATGCGGCTAGCGAGAGACGTGTTCAACGTGCGCTCTCGCTTGGCAAACTATTTTTCGTGTGTGTTTTTTGTTTTTCGATTCAAGCCAGCTGTCTATACGTGGGCCGCCTTAAAAGTTGCCGAGCGCCGAGCACTGAGCCGACGCAATCGGCTACGACAAACATTTTGGCCTCAGCTATCAGCCACCAGCAACTAGCCACCAGCATCCAACCCATTTGAACCTCTTAACCCCCTCGATCACTTTGGGCATTTTACGAGGCGGTTGGCGGTGCTGTAAGTTGTCGGCGCCAAAATGTGACTGCGACCAGGGCCAGAGATTCGAGATTGGAGATTTCAGATCCGAGATCCGATGCTGACAGCCAGTTGAGCTCATGTCTTGTGAAGCTAAGTAAATATTTGAACTTTCGACTGGCAGCGGTTTTTGGGTGCGCTATAAAGTCGCATTAAACAAACAAATTCTTCGGGGATTAAGTCATAAACATTTTAGATAGTCTGTAGATGCTTTTTAAAGTTCTAATTTAAACACAATACAGTACACACATATAACCAAGTATCAGTTAATTTCATGAGACTCTCTGATTCTCCGAAAGTTATATTTCAAGGTACTGTATTTCCGCGGAAGAGAAATCGAGAACATGGCCTTATGAAATAATTTAGATGATTATGTTGTAATACAATTTAAACTCATGAAGCAAATTAACGACAAAAAATTAAAACTAACTTCTAAATTAATTTTTAAATTGTATGTTAAACCATTTTAGATAAATCTTTCTCAAATTGTAATCAGATAAGTTTACTATTAGCAATAATGTACACGAAACTTAATTTAGACGAATCTATAGTAATAAAATACAATAAAATCGTTTGAAATATGAACTTATAAATGATAAAAATTAGCTTCCTCCGACAGACGGATTTTATTTTTAAGTTGTGTATTTACAAATTTTAGATAAAACCTTCATACATTGTAATCTGATAAATTCGCTATTAGCAATAATGTACACGAAACTTAATCAGTTTAATTCCAATTTGTTTACTCTAAACGTTTTCCGACTTTGTAATTAAATTTGAAAATAAACAACACTATTTTCCAGCTTAATTGCGTGTGGGCGGTGCCAAATGGCAGTGCATTGTTGTTATTTGAAATACTGAAGAAATTAAAACAACAAACGTGGCACTGCATGAAGGTGTTGGGTCGCGATAAACATAAACAATGGGGCCCTAAATAAATATACGGCCCTAAACCAGCTCATCCATTAACCCTAACAATGATAACTGATGCAAATTGGCAGCTGACAAATGGATTTTTCTGGGCATGGCCAGCAAACCAACAAACCAACAAACCATTGCAATCCATTTGACTTTCGCTTTTTTGTGTTTTGTTGTTTTCGCTGGTTTAACTGCCATTGGAGCGGTAATTTCAGTTTGGCGCTCGTCTAAAACATTGCCCAAATAGCATTGAAATCGGTAATTTCATTAAATTTTGGGCCCAGCCAAAATGACCCTGGTCGGCATTGTGGTGTGTGTGATTTCGTTTTGGCTTTTCAATTTGCCAGTTTAATTTGATTTGGCTGAAATTATGTGGCGTCGAGTGGCCCACAGAAGCGTTCGGCAGCCGAGAGCCGTCAGCAGTGCCAAAATTACCAAATACTTGGCCAGGCAATAACATAAAAATTCATGTTTCGCGAACACCCACACGAAAGGTAATTGACTTTTATTAATCGACCGGCAATTAGGCCTAAGCCCCAAAGGCAAATGGCCAAATTCAAGTGCAATTCCGCCTTATAACTTAGCCGCAATTGGTTTTGAAAGACCGCTGAAAAGCTCGCTGGCAGCTAGTTCAAAGCTCTGCCGAGTGGGGGCGCTGCGTTTAAGCCAAGTTTTTAGGTCTGCTGGTCAGCTGTGAAGACGCCGAGCCTCAGTTTCTTCGCAGCTCGCATTCAGTGCGCAAGCGCCGCAAGTTCCGCTAGCAAACGCGAAGTGCGAAGCGCCGGCGCCAAGTAAAGCTATAACCTATTACCAACGCGAGGAAAACAATCAACCAGCGTGGCCGAGAGTGGTGAAAATTGATTAACCAGCTGAGAGGTCCAAGCAGAAAAGAAACCAAAAAAAAAAAAACGGTGTGTAATTGTTAGCAAAGCATGCGAGACCTTAAAGCCCCCGTATAATAGCCTAAATGACCTTACGCGTTGGTTAACTTTGTCTTAGGTCAAGGTCCGGCTGAGACCGCTTACTCCGAAAAACGCGGAAGTGTAACGCACAATTAAAAACGCATTTGCTGGATACTCGCATAATTAAAAGCGGCAAACAAGTTTGCTTCTATTTCCTACTGCCAAGCAAATAAACGTGAATTAGAAACGCTTTAAGAGAGCAGCAGCATAAATCATACGCTAACGCAATGCTTGCGCAAATTTCACACACACAAGCACACACACTGTGCGAAATCAAAACAGAGGCGAAAACCTGAGACTCACGTTCAATTGGGAATTGGAATTTATACGGCTGTCCCGCCGTTTCAGGTCCCAGGCGGCTAATTGTAGAGCGCAGCGTCAATGGCGCATGCGCAACATTTTAGCCCGCTTTGGGGTTTCTGGGTCTCTGTCTCTGGCGCTTTTTTTTACAGCCCGCTTGCGGTTTCTTTCGTGTAATTGTGACGCAATTTTCGTGTGAGTTTGTTTTAGTCTCGCTTCGCCAGTTCACCAGCTTTGCCACTGACTCAATACACTGAAAACGAAAGCGGCCACGGAGTTGTGAGCCAAGCCAGTTTGCAATTCGTGTGTGCCTTGTGCAGTGCATCACCTTCGGACGACTGCGTATTGCAGTCAGTTGCAATTCACACGCGTCGAAGCTCAGTTCGCTTCCTACTAAGACTAATAAAACCAGAAACAAAGCGTTAACTTTACGGTATAAATATTGCAGCTGCCAATTAAATTTAGGCCTGAATTGGAGCGTTACCAGGGGCAGTCATCCTGCATTCGGAGTTTGCGTAATTCTTTGCCTCATTGCCGCGCTTCATTGACTTGGGCTGCGGTTGGTGGCTTTCCCCTTTTGTAGTGGGTGCAGCTCTAACTAATTTCTGCGGCTTGGCTAAATAATTAAACCGAACTCTTAATTGCCCCTTACAAGGGACAAGGCATAATCGAATGATGGCCAGCTTATTGTTCATGGACTTATTTACTTTGCGCTGTGCCCACTTCATTGGCTCGACGTCACAGCGATTTCATGGCCAATGTCAGTACAAGTGAAGTGAAGTGATTTGAACAAGTTTGCCGTACTCACACTCGTACTCGTACTCACATCTGTATCCGCGTGCGTAGACAATCACAATCGGAGAGGAAGCTATAAATTCTCAATCTACGCTGTGAAGTTTGGAGTGCAAGAAACATAATCAATTTCGCTGTGAGAACCTTCAAAGATGTCAGCCCAGCGAATCTGAAGCAATTCATGGCTTCCACTTAGACTTCGACTTCGATAGGCAATGACAGTGCCAGTGACTAAGCGATAGAATCCAGTTGGCAGAACAGCTGGGTTCTGGTTTGTTCTATACTATATGTATGTACAATGTACATATTATGGTATTTCCGGCTGCCTGGGGGCTTAATTGATTTTCGTTAGTGCTCAAAGTTTTCAAGAAAACCCTTCCTTTTTTGTTCTCTCTTTTTTTCGTCCGTCTTGGCCCGCAAAACTTTTGATTTATGTGAGCAAATTTTACGCCTGGCGAACGTGGCGTATGCGTAATTACGACCACTTGGCACCAAACTTTCGGGCTAATTAATTGGGCTTCGAGGCAGCTGCCGAAAGGTAAAAGAATCGCCCGCCGAAAGGTGCGAATGAGGCAAATGCTGCAAATCAGAGGACTCCGGTTGCCCCAATCACACACATTTAGGGGGCATAATAAATGCGAGTGTGTACGTGCTGGGCATGTCAACTAGTGTTGGGGCATCTTGGGCCATCTTGGGGCACCCCATCACAAACGAAATAAAACAGTTTGGCAACATTTTTCAGAGCCCCACCCCCAATACCCACTATATGTGTTGGCCCAGGTAATTAAATGAGCGAGGGTGTTTGTGTGCAAAGTGTTGAAAATTGGCTAAACTTATGTTGGCCAACGCATCCTGTGTGCGTGTGTGACCTTCCGTCTGGGATTCTGAGTCCGAGTGCCAGATTTAATTCAAGTTCCTGCCATTGCAGACAAGATGCTCCAGCTGTGCACCATCTACGCCTGCGCGAATGGCACCTTGGGCCTGAATTTGAGTCGTGCCCCCTGGGACCCGTATCCGTGGGTCAGCGGGGTGCAGGCGAAGTCGAATGCGGAAAGGGGCGGCGTCCAGTTGGGGGACACTCTGCTCGAGCTAAACGGAGCCGATGTCCTTGGGCTGAGGATCAGTGAGCTGGCCAACCGGCTGCAGGATCACTGGCAGAGCGGCGCCGAGGTCGTGACCCTGATGATGTGGCGCCAGCAGGCGAACATGGCCCCAAATGAGGATCCTGCGGAGGCATCGCACGCTGTGGTGAGTCTTTTTTGCTTGTCTTAATTAAAATACCTCTCTTGGAGGTCTGTTTAAATGGGCCATTGTCTTACATGTTCGTGCGCCACTGAGCGTTACGTAATACTGATTGATTTAATGACTGGAGCTGCTGCTTTGGCCCAGTAACTAGAAATTAGACGATGCAGTCGCTTGCTTTTTGTGTTCTTATTCTGCCCATTGCAGTTTTGGTAGCCCAAGGTTACCTTTAAACACAAAACAAAAAATGCGAAATTAGTCTTAAGCTCATAATTCATCCATAACCACATGCTATCTTAATTGACTGGCCATCAATTGCTATTTTCCTCAGCTTAATTGCGTAAATAGAGGTTAAGTTATCTGGATTGCAAGCTGGGATGAGCCTAAACATAACGTTCATTTAAAAAAATTTAGTTAAAAGCCCATTTAATTAACCAAAATATTTCTTTAATATAAAACAATTTTAATAGAACTTCGGGTAGCAGTGCAAAATATATTCTAGTCTTAACAAAATGTTTTTATTAACTTAAGCCTTAAAAGTTTTTATGTGATTTAACTTTTTCGACTACCTTTATTTATGTACAATGTATTATAGACATAAAAAAAATCTAGTTAAAGGCTTTTCTGTTTGAAAGTGAGCAACTGACATTGGACTTTTTATTTATTACTCAGGTCCACTTTAATGCATAGGTAAATTTAGATCCCAAAATGAGTCTCAAGGCGTTCGAGCATGCAGATACCTGGCGGCGTCCATGTGGCAGTGTTGTTGTAAATTGTTTATCTGCTGACCAAGAATCTGTTTACTTTGTTAAATGCAATTGAATCGAAATAACGCAATTTCGTCTTGACACATTACGTGTACTTTATTGCAATTCAATTGACCTAAATGTCCTTGCAGTGGACGGTGAAAACTTAAGGCCAGCCAGGACATTCGCACACACAGGTGGTTAGCATGGAAAGTCCATTTCAATCAGTGCCGAAGGCAGTGAATCACAGAGTTTGACCCGTTTAACAGATTAAACTTGCAACCGCACTTGTCCACAGGACGTAAAGTGTCTTTCGCATGCAGGCAGCCCCTGTGATTTCGAACTTTTGACGATCAAATGCAAATTGAATGGAAATCAGCTTAAATCATAGCATTTCATAAGCATTGTTGCGTGAATTATTAACATCGCACCATCGAAAATGTGGGCCACGCCAAAAATTGAAATATAATTAAATGCAGGCGTCAGATTTAATTGATTAAATTATTCCCCAAGTGCGGTTCAACCTTGAAGTGGAATCCTTAAATTAACCGTCGGTATTTCCCTTTATACTTGCAGCAGCACGGAATTAATCAACAATCGCTGCAAAAGTTTGCAACATGCCTGCAACATATTTCCCAATTACTGGAGTGTCCTGTGTGCCTTGAGGTAAGTGGAAAATGGGCCATGCGGGATGCGGGATGCGGGATGCGGATTGGGCGGGCTGCTTGAGTGGGCGGGATGCTGGGCCATAAGGACTCGCCCATTCCGCCGGCATGTGCATTGCATATCGATGAGGCTGACTGGCTTTAGTTTTAGTTCGTCATTATCTAACTCAGTTGGGCTCGAACTCTCGACCCAACTCGCCCAAAACTTAGTTGGCCTCTTGTTTTCCTTTGTGAGCCGCTGCCGACTAAGCCACTTTGAGAAAATAATATCGCAATGAATGTTTGCCTTTTTAATATAATATTTAACTGGCTTGTATCTTACAATGCCAATTTTAAAATGCTGGTATTTAAAATATAGGACAAGATTACAATAATTATTATTTTCAAATCATTTAAAAACAAACTTATTTTTACAAATTTTAGTTTGCAAAAATTAAATTTAAAGCTTGGCTGGTGAATATGGTAAATAAATAGTAGACGTTAAAATTAATATTACAATTTATGATGAATTTATTCAAAAGGGGTCAAAAAAATTAAATATTAAATATGTTCTCTTTGGTGTTAGATTTTTACAAAATCGGTTAACTAGACTATAAACAAGCAGATGATAATATATTTTAAGATGTATATTAAACTTTAACCATCCAATTTTTGGATAGAAAAACATTTTTGCACTCTCTAAAAGTAAAATAGAATCCGGAACTGGAATGAAGATTTATTCTCTGTACATAAGCGGTTCCATTGGCAATCCCAGAGCCATCCTGTTCCGGAGCTGCGTTGATTTTGCTGCGCAAGTTTGTTGCTAATCACTTGACTGCATATAAAGTTTGCAACGTCGGGCTGCCGGTGATTGTGTGCCCCCTGTCCTACGTCTATGTCGTGTGTCCCTGTCCCCCCCCAGATAGCATTCCTCCCCTCCCCTGGCCATCCCAGGTATGCCAGCTTTGTTGACTCAATTACTCAAACGACGCACATGGCCCAATCCGGCTATCCATGTTGGCAGTTAATAGCCGACGGTTATGTTGCTTGGCCAAGTTTTTTATTCGGCCTGCTGTTTTATTTTGTCCTATATTCGAGTAGGTTTTTGATAAATGTTTGCCCGGGCATGTGATTTGATTAGTTTTGCAAAATATATACATCCACAGCGGGCCATGTGATTGATTATGTCGTTTAAAAATCAAATATTGACGATTAGTGTGTGTGTGTGGGACGGCGGCAGCAGCATCGGCGGCGGAAGTCAGTGTGAATAATCGTGTCAATCGCCTGCGGGCCAGCTTCTGATTTTGCTGTTTCTGATGCTCATTCAGAGCTGAGAGCCCAGAGCTCGTTGTGCATTTAAATTAAAGCCGGGCGTCGAGGGCCGGACTTTAAATTTATTTATGCCCAGCCTGTCAGCAAAAACATAAATTTAATTAATTAGACAAGATAAAGAGTATGCAGACCGGTGAGCAGAGAGCTACTGCCCCCTTTGCTCTCCTTTTGCTCCCCCGCCTGTGCAGATTTAAAATGCAGAGTTATTTTCAAATGAAATTCTCGCCTGCAGCTGATCTCGTTGCCGGAGAGTCAGTGTGTAACCATAAATTAAACATGTGCGGAGCGGAGCGGCAAGGACATCCACAACCACATCCACATCCACAGCCCGTATCCTGGACGCCGGCCACGCTACAACGCCTTCGGAGCGAGTTGGTCACAGAGCAGCTTGGACTCCACTTGCTGCTGTACTGAATAATTTGTTTATTAACCCGAAATCAGTTTATGCTGCTCCGTCCCGCTCTCGCCTGCGTCTTATTTGCCGGCCAAAAGGAGACAAAGACAGGGACAGAGAGAGAGAGAGAGAGACAGAGAGAGAGAGAAAAAGAGAACAAGAAGGTCCTTCGGATTTGGCCATTATTACTGTGGCACGGAGCCGGCATTATATTGTATTATGAGCACATATCCTTCGGTTTGTAAGGCTCTCTGTGTGTTTGTGTGTGTGTGTGTGGCGTATTTGGATATGCAAACACGCACACAAGTCCATTAAGTTATTAAGGGATTTTGTTTTGCTAGATTTTCAATAGTTGTGCATCCTCGATTCCCTTCAATGCTAATCGCATGCATTAGTCTGCATGCAGTCGGCTAAGGATTTGCCTCTGCCTTTCCTTGTTTGACATTAAATCGGGCATAAAACTGTTTTAGTTTCATTTAAATATGCATAAATTTGCAGGCCATTTAATTTTCATAAATGTTGCAAACAAACAGCTCAACTCCGGCTCATAATGGCAAATAGATTAATTCATTTTCGATTAGCCCCGCGGTGCTATGGTTAATATGAACTGGCAAACGAGTTCATGCCATCGAGTCAATGCTGTTGAGTATATTTTACAATATGCCTAAAAACATGCTAAGCCAATTGATTGATTTGCGACAGATGCAGAAAAGTGGGCTAAAACTACTCGGCTTTGTACACTTCCGCCGCCACTTCCACTTCCATTTCCACTTTCCCCATTTTCCCAGTTTTCGCTCAGCTGCATTTAATTGATTTCTATCTCTAATTGGAGTCTTTGTTTATGCATGCAGAGGTATTAAAATTAAAAGCATTTGCTCATGCCATTTAAGCCAATTAAAAACAATAATGGACGAAAAACATACAAAAAATCTGCCGCACGTGCACATTCCCTAAATTCCTATTACTTTGATTTATTTTATTTGGGGGACATGAGAAAAAGTTGTAAAATTTTTCAGCTATTAAAACGTGTGTGACTATCGCAGTTCACAGTTTTTTGCGTTTAGTAGGTCTGAAAGGGCAATATAGCATAGAGATTTGCGTTAGTTGCTTAAGTTAATGAGGGTCAAATCATAGGTTTTTTTGCCTTGCACTTTGGCTCTTTATCATAATGTTTTTATATTGTCAGATTGCAAACGAATCGCTATAAATTTGTAACACTTCGATTGCAGTTTTGCCAAATCGTTGCAAAAAGAAGAAAAGCTGCAGTACAAAGATTGTTTCTCTATTCAGCTCGTCGCAAATTTATGTTCGCCTGCATATTTACAACAGTTTTTGGCTGAACACACGCACAAACGGGCAGAGACAAAAAGCTTTGGATATACATATATCGATATATATTTCCCAGTCCAGTATAGTCCTTTCGTCCATATTCCGTATTCGGTGCTCGCATTTCTGTTTTTTTTTTGTATTGTATTTCTGTATTTATGTTTTCGTGCTCTTGTGAGGGAACGACTTCAAATGCGCAAAAGTATTTTGGGTCTGCATCAAACACAGTTGTATTATTTTAAATCCGCTTGCAATATTTTCAATTTGATTTTCAATTTAAATGGGAAAGCTTGCTGCGCACAACGTTGCCAATATAATACATTTTTCATGTCAATTTGAGAACGGCAATCGGGGCACCGGCAGCAATTGGACTTGAGAAGACCAAGTTCCGGGGGCAAACAAGAGCCAAATGTGGGCAATAATCAAATTTAGTGTCCGTTTGTGCATTACGTACGACGTAGTCTAGAATTGCTTTTTGTTTAAATGCAATTCGGAGAATAATAATGAAGCAATCAGAGAGTCCAGCTCGATGGCAGACCCTGGGGACCTGGGGTTCGATGGCCACGTTGGCCCCGATGTCTATAATTAATTGAAATAATAAGAACCCCCTCCCTGAATAATTACACACATTCACCGAGATCCTTTTTCTTTCCCTTCTTCTTCGTGGCTGCAACTCCAACTCCAACTTGCAACGGAAATCAGGTCATCAAGCCACCTGGCTGGCAGTGCTGCAACGGACACGTGCTCTGCAATAATTGCCGCAGTCGCTCCGTGAAGTGTCCGGTGTGCCGGGTTCCCTTGGGGCCGAGGGGCCGCTGTCTGCTGTCGGACAAATTATTCACCCTGCTGGCGGAGAGCTTCCCCTGCGACGGCGGTAAGTGCTGACCGCTTTTTAAGGACATGTATTCGCGACTTTCATCCATTTAATCTGCGCCAACCGATACCCGAATTAGCCTTGTCATTAGGCAACAGCTGTCTGTTTCTGCCAGTTTCTTCACTCTTAAATAGCAGAAGGGTGTCGGGTGTAAGATTCTGTGATTCTGTACCATTAACTATTTAATATTGACTAAATGCAATTTAGATTTTTTTCACATTTATTAAAAAATCAGTATTTGTTGTCCGCTAGCTTCTAAAAGTAATTTAATTTTCAATTTGAGTTAAATAACATATTTACATTTATCTACTTTGCTTTACTGATCTGGATATTTATTAAGCAATACAAAAAATTGATTTGGAACTAATAAAATAAATGTAAGTTAATTCACATTTACTATTAAATCAGTATTTATTGTCTTATTTAATTACATTTCTAAATTACTGTACTTTGCTTGACGTTCATAAAACAAAAAAACTAGAAACAAATAGCTAAATATTCTCTTCAAATTAGATTATACTTACTGCAAAAGACTAATCATTTATACACAACATAAACAATTATTTGTTAATTGAAGATGAAATTCCTCATTTAATTGCACTAATTATACCCAAAATGATATTGAATTTGTGTCTAAGAATACACCCATTACGCTTCCGGATATTTTTCGTTAAGCCGAATAGATATGAGCTTTGAAATACAAAACCCCGGCATATGGCTTTCACCCCCGTCTAGCTTAAATATATGTATCTTGTGCCATTGACAACATCCTGGGCCGCCTGAGTCCTCATTTGGGTGGGCCAAAACTTTTGAGCAGCGGCAAGTGTCAATGTTTCACTTAAATCTCAACCGAGCGGCGGCGCAAATGAAAGAAAAATGTGACGAGAAAGCGGAGCCGGTAGTCAAGAGTGAGTCAAGAGTGCTTGAAATTGAGCGCAATGGCTCATCTTCGCTTGTTGTTCTTTTTATAGCATAATTATGTAACATAAATTGCTAAAGTTTTTCGCGCTTTGCGCCACTGCCATCTTGCTGGCATTTGTTGCTTTGGCTGCTTCGTTTAAAGTTTAGCCGCCCTTGTTGCCATTTTCAATCTGTGTCCGCCAACTTAGCTTCGAGTGAAGTTTACAGCGGAGGTAACAAGCAGGAACAGAATTTTCCGCCGTTGTCTGCATTTGTTTTTACTTGTTGGTCTTCATTTTTTGCCACTTTTACCCACTCTTGCCCACTTTTCCACGCTTTTCCCCACTTCGGGGTCTTCTGCTTTGTTTTTCCCAGCTTATGCAGTGCTTAGTGCGTTTTTATTGCTTCTACATTAAGTGTGCATTCCTTATGTTTCGCCGAGATTTTCCAAGTTCATATTTATATAGACGAGGAGCGGGTAAATTTATATACTTTTTTCCATTTTCATTTGCCACTTGAACTCCTGGGGAGTTTCTGTCAAGAGTCGGGGCGAAACCCTAACGAGCGCCAGTTCACAATTGCAAGTGCTAGAAAACTTGCGAACTTGCGAACTGTGCGTGCAGATATCCTAGCTATAACTAGATATCCTGGCTGTATTTATTATATTTACATTACGTAGTCCATTCCCAAGGCACTTTTTTAATGGCTCTTTTTTTCGGTGCTGCCTCTTTTGCAGGAAAAGCCAACAAGGTGACTGCGGCCCAGGGCCATGAAAAGCTGAGCAGCAGCGTCAACAAGTGCACAAATGAATATCATAATCAACCGAAAATGGCGCTGGCCAAGACGAGTTCCGGCAAGAAGTGCGGCAAGCAAATCTCCAGGCAACTGACAGTTTCGGTGGACCAAAGCCCAAACCAAAACCAAAACCCAAACTCCAACCCAAACCCAAGCCAAATGCCAAAGGGAGCTGGGGTCGAGGCGAATGCCCAGGCCCAAACTCCCAATGAAATCAGAAGGAAAAGTCAGGAGGCTGTCCTGCCACGCTGCACGCTGATAAAAGTGCAGCACCAGGAGACAAGGACTGCCGAGGAGCTAGGACTCGGACTGGGACTTTCGAGGGAGGGTCACAACAATATGCTCGTTAAACCAAAGTTAAAGTTGAGTAAGAAAAGTTGGCGGATTACAGGGCCAGATCAAGACGGATTGCGCTGCGATGAAGTTGCCACCATAAATAATGTCGAGCAGGTGAGGCAGCAGAAGCAGCAGCAGCAGCAGGAGCATCTGCAGCAGCAGCAGCAGCAGGAGCAGTATCAAAATTATCATTGCCCCACTGGGAAATCATGCAGCCACAGCCACAGTCACAGCCAGGCGGTGGCAAACAAATTGTCAACAGAGTCGGCAGGGGCGGATTTGGGCGGTGCATCCTTATCAGCGGGGAGCCATAAACAGGCGCCGGCATCCGGAGTGAATCAGGCGCTGGACGCGGGGTCAATAGGTCGGCGGGAGTGGCAGCTGCTGCGCCACCTTAGCGCCGAGCACCGCCTGGCGGTGGTGCAAATCTACGGCACGTTCGGCGAGCGCTTCCACGTGCGCCCCCAGCTGCCCCAGGAGGGCGTGGCCTGCCTGCGGCTCAGTGGACCGGAGTCCTTCACTTCTGGCCACGTCCGAGTGCACACATTTTTCCTGGCTGTCATTGCGATCGGCAATGATTGTGGCGGTGGCGACGAGCACGCCATCTTCCTGTGGCACCAGGACCTGCCACATGGACCCACTTTCGAGACTGTCATCGAGACACAATGCGGACGCATTCTGTGGCAAGGACCCGTCCAGTCGCTCCGGCGCAGTTGGCCGGAGATTAGGGCAGCCGGCCAGTTCCTCACCTGCGGCAGCTTGGCTGCCAACTTCGAGGTGACCATCAACAGCAGGTAGACCTCGCCACCAAGACTGCCCTCAAAGTATAGTAATAGTATTAAAGCTAATAAGTTTAAGACCACTACTCCTAGTTAGAGCAAACCCGAACGGAATGAAAATAAAAAGTGAAATGTATGCTTTGTAAATTATATTTGCATTTTTTCAACGGCGTGTATTTATATGAAAAATGCAAAACGCAATTTGGAAATGTGTTTAATTTGCAATATTTTTAATTAATAAAAACATTTAGAAATGTGCTGGTCTCGCAGTTTGAAAGTCGTGGCAGGTGAATGGCGGAGATGTGCGCCTGTGAACCTCTGGATGCCCTATAAAAACAAATAACTCAAAGAGTGGTGCATAATTTAATGGCTGATTCCATCAAAAGATACCATTCCTTTGACACACGCATCAGTTTTCCGGTTCCTATATCCAATTTCAAGAGTATCTCTGTTTGGTGAGTGAAAAGATGGTCTGTATTGGCTTGTGGTGAAAAAATAATTCTGATATTTGTGCTGAAAACCGACAACATCAACTGCATTGGCAACTAGCGCCTGTCTGTTTGTTGCCTCCCGATAATTGACTTGCATGCAAATTAATGTTTTTTGCCCCTCTGCCGCGCGTGGGCGTAAATTGCTGGCCTGTCTGACAAACAGTAAACACGGTCAATGCAGCGTCGAGTCATTTTCATCAACGCAGCGCCATACATAAATCTCTGCTCCATCGATGTTTACCATATTTAAGGAAAAAATTCCAATTTGATACAACAAAAATCACTGCGCCGTAACAACATGTGTGCACGGCAAATAAAGCAAGCCTGTTTTATTATCCTTTTTTTTGGTTGTTTCGCACTCCTGCCTTCCACACTATCGCCTGTTTGTTTTTGATAAGCCATCACCGCCATCATCGTCATATTATGTAATGCAGCTGCAACTGCAACTGCCACTGCACTCGCCGCTCTGTACACAATCGGAAAAAGTGGGCATAGTTAAAATAAATTAAATACCTCGCAAAAGACACTTTTTGCCACGCGGATGATGAGGAGATGATGACTGCAGCAGGGATGTCACAGCGATGGGTATTCTTTGTCAGAGGGGGTCCATCAGGTAAATTAAAAATGTTCAGGCCGAAGCAATTAAATTACGACCTCGACAGCGGCGAAAATAAACCCAATATGATGATCCAGTCAAAATGTAAATTTTCAGAAAACAATTTACAAGACAAGCTACACTTTTTAATGGGAGTTGAGGTTGCATTTTCAGCAACTAAGAGGGTTGCTCTTGAAAATACAAACATTTTTGTAATTGAATATTTGTATGGAAAGGGGAGAAATTCCTATGAAATTCCTGTTAAAATAACTTTTGTATAACATTTACATAAATGCTATTTTTATTGATCCACGAAATATTTTACGATTTTAAAAAAATACAAAAATAATAACAGGCAAATATGAAAGATATCTTACTCGTACAATAAAAGCTCAAATGCGGTATGTCAGGCGCACATTTTGATGGAAAAGTGAAAGTCCATATACAATGTCCTATGACTAGGTGTCTATTAATAATCCAGCCATTCAGAGCCTTATCTCGCACAGATAAATTATGACTGTGTGTAAATTATTTATCAGCTAATTGGTTTGCCTTAGAAAACTATGGGAACATTGAATCGAAGATAAGCGACTTCCCCGTTGTAAATATGTGCATGCATTTCTCACTGCCCGCTCTTTCTTTCATAATCTCATTTTGCTCACTTCTCTCTCTTTAAAGAACAGAGGGTTTGCTTTGCGCCGCTTGTTTGTTTGCCAATTAGTTTTAATCGAAGAGTGCTCGCTGGTTCGCCGCTCGCCAATCGTTTGTTTAAATTGCTTTTCTAATTAATGCGCGGTGCAAATATTTGCCAGAGCATGTGTGTTGTAATAAAAAGAAGCTCCAAGTTCCCTGCTTCTTGTTCTTGGGCTACTTTGATTCCTTCCCGCCTTTCCGGCGGTCGTGTCGCGTGTGTTCCGTCCGCGCATTATATTCATTCGATTCCCCGGTTCGGTCAAGTGTACTTTTCAGTCTCTTTGGAGCACTTCGATTCTCTTTGGCTGTCAAATTCAGTGAGGAACACGCGGCTACGTCATCGCTTGACTGCGTCAGCATTCGCTCTTTGCACAAAACTCTTTGTTTTGCTTCCCACTTTTTACTCAGCGTTTGTTTTGCTTCGGCATTCTGCCATCGGACGACATGAGCAGCGATTTCGGTAAGCATAAGTTTAGTGATTTTAGCATTTAGCAATGGCAGTTTTCGATTTTCACATTCGCCGTTAATTTACGAGTTTGTGGTTAATTAATTATATGCCAATATTTTCCGAAGTGCCAATAAATAAGTCGTGTGCAAATACAGTCCAACGTCCATAATTCCAGCCGCTAGGCGCTAAAAAATTAACTTAATATTGTATATACATACATAGAATTCGGGTTGCCAAATAAATGCCACTAATGTTAATATTTTATAATTCGAATAGAGATTTCAAAGCGTTGTTTATTTGTGTGTCTATTTATTGATTAAGTGTGATTAATTTTAATCCGAATTTATATAATTTAATAACATATTATTATTATATTATATTATGGCACTTTGTAGTTTAAACTTCGAAAAATCCTTTTAAATTTATATTTATAATCATAATTTATATTTTAAAAAAACATAAAAACACAATAAATTTACCATTTTTAAGAAAGGTTTGTAATTTTAGCAAAGATCGCAGCCTGGAAAGGCTTAGTTTTGGATGAAGAACTCTCCAGTTATGGTAACTATGATATCTATGATACCTTTTTTACTATCGATTTCAACACCTTCAGGTGTGCTGAATGTGGTGGCCGGAAGTGATGGTCCGCCCCTGCAGGCCTTCCGGTGCAGCAACCCCTTCGACGAGTCCAATGAGAAGAGCTCATCTCAGCAGGACTTGGAACGGGATCGGGATGCCAACCAGACGCCGTTGCACATGTTGCGGCGGGCCAGCGAAACGGTGACCGCCAGCATTCTGGAGCCCGAGAAGGAGCTGCTCCTGGGCGAGCGGCCACAGGTTCCGCCCCGTGCACACGGACCTTCGGCACCGAATACCTCTGAAGGTGAGTGATTCCATCTTATTGTGCGCCGACGTCAGAAGGAACTCAAAAATGCAGAACTAAAGCAAAGCAAACATATTTGTTGCGCAAATTCCTGCCTTTTTTCACATTTAGGGGTGAGGAAGGATGCTGAAGAGAGACATCCAGCCAAGCGAAGTGGCTCTGACATACAAGTGCACAATGCGTACTCACAGGCATTTGTATGCATTTCACCATATATTCATAGTTTGTTTATGCAAAGCTGTTGTTTCACCAGCAAGGATCCACGAAAAATCTCTGCCACGGGCTTTGAGCTGGCAGAGGAGCTGATTGAGGCATTTCGATTTTAAGTGAGCCGCATAATCACATCTTACACAAAGAGGGGAATGGGGCATTTACGTAATATTTACGCATATTGACGCCAGAGCGACTGCGATTGGCAGCACTGCTGTCTTGGCTCCAACTCAAGCGTTTCCAAGGACTCTGGCTTCTGAAAATATGCACCGTTTGCATGGCCATATGTGGGTGCCCACTACTGACCGGGTTTTTGTTTGTTTACGCTTCTCTGTTTTGGCAGGTGCTTCTTGCCGGTTTTTCGCCTTCAACAGAACGGTTATTATTTTTGAAACTCCCGGAGCTGCAATTGTTTTGCATCTGTGTAAATACGGGGTTTTACCCGGATTTTGCCAACTTTCGGGGGCAAAGAATTTCCCTTTGGGCCATGGCCGCTGCGGAATTTTCACACGAATAATGAGCCGTTTTAGTTGCGCCCAAATGCCCGCAATCAGACAACTAACACGAGTGCCAAGAGCCCGCGGCTCTCGGCAAAGTATGTTTCCATGAATATGCATTAGCCGGGGCTCATTTCCTGTGCATTCATTTCGCATTTGCTATTCGCATTCGCAGTCGCTTTGCATTCGAGTTGTGCCCTCGAAACTTGCACCACTGATTCCGATTCCGATTCTGATTCTGATTCCCGTTTCCATTTCCATTCCCATTCCCATTCCTCCATTTCGACTCTGATTTGACTCTGGAAGTCATATTTAAATAAGTTTGCGCACCGCTGCAGGCAGCGCTAATGCTCGCATGTGCAGGGGCTCGTTTATATTAAATAAGTTCCATTTAAATGCAGCGTCTGGGGCAATTTCTCAAGCTCAACCTTGAGTGGGTGGGTAATGGGTGGTTCACCTGACGCCCCACCGCACCCGCCCACTTATTACATGTCGCTTCTGCTTGTGAGTGAAACGGCGACATTTCTGTTAACTAAAGCCAACATGATATACGCTTGCCACACAAACATTCTCTGTCGTCTATTGATAAATGCAGTGCATTGCGCATTCGCCCCGTGCGCCCGCAAAGCCGAGGGTGTGTGTGCATGGCAAGTCAGTTCATTACGTATACGCAGTGGGCGACATTTATAAATGCCATTTTGGCTGTGACTCAGCATAATGATTGCCAAATGAATGGCAGAACGTTAACCGTCACGAAAACCCTTTCGACGCCATTTGCATTCACGCTGATGCGTTTTGGCCCGAAGCATTTTGTAGCTGTTGGCCCACTTGACAGGCTGTGGATCCTTTGACTGGCCTCGCAGGATCTGGCACTTGCACTTGCACCGCAGCTAATTACTAAAGCTACACTTAATCGGGGTTTTCCACTTTTGCTTTGACCACCTGTCAGACTTATGTTGGGGATTTATTTAGCTGCCTGTGCAAGGTCTTTTCCATTTTCAATTTCTCGCCTTATTTGCTAAGCGCTGAATGGCGCTTTATGACCTGCTTTTTTCATTTTTTTTCTGTTTTTTCTTCTTTTTTTTCGCTTTACCCGCCTGGAGCCAAGAAAGTGCCAGTTTCCACTGATTTGCGATGTATGAGCACTAAATTAGATGCGAATCGCTGGGGCGTGAGTTCATCTCTTGGAAGGAAGTGCGTGACAACGGAACGCAATCTTCCTCGGAAAGAAATTATTTTCTGGATGCGCACTGGTTAACGATGGAGTTGCAGGTCTGAATCAAGATTCAGAACGCGCAAAGGATGCCGTGCCGGCTGGCATAGTTAAAAG